GTTCTTCAGATTGTTTCTGCTAAGAAAAAAATCTTGTAAGAATTGTTCCATGGAAGGTTCTTTGGTTAACCCAAAATATACATACCTCTTAATATTATCAATACGACAGCTTGATCATTTTACTCTTTAAGCATTGATAAAAACTTTTTGTCTAGATATAACAGGAAATGTGGACCTGCACTCTCAAAATACACTGCAAGCGAATTATGCAAAGCTGCTGAACTTTGCAGGACTCTAACAGTAAACTTGCATTCACACTGTAGCTATGATTATTATAACTGACCATGAATATTCTAGAATGTGTGATGTTGTGAATCTCGATTCTTTATATAATCTGTTCAGAATTTGAATGAGAGTTTTGTTTTTTGTTTAGTGAACAGTTCTTAAAATACATGTTTTCTTAGTGCAAAATAATAATAATAATAATAATAATAATAATAAAAATCTATGATTTATAAAACAGCTCTCAAGTTGTATTGGATTTGTAGCCTACCTAAAGTCATTAACTGAAATTAATAACTGTTATTACAGTAATAATCAACATTTAGCATGTGATTTTTTTCTAATAATCTCTTTACCTTCACACATCACATACACATTTTGCCGTCAACCATCCAGCTGTTGTAAGACAGCATCACCTTACTCCAACATCAGTAAGTGAAGCTCGCTCTGTATGGAGACTTACGCTTCATTTGTTTTGCCCCAGGGGAGCGGGTGGCTGGGTGTGAGTTTTTCAAGGAGATGGGTATCGACTCTCCACCAGTCAGCGTCGGTAACATCACCGTATGACTGAGTCCTGTCCCCACTTCACAACCGTTCTTGTCTGCGTGTCAGTCACTTCCGGCCTTTCAACCAGTGGTTCTGCAGTTGCTGTGTGTCAAAACTCAGTGCTCAGCGTTCCAGAAATAACCGTCGCTTCCCGGGAGATGATGGGGTCTCCCAAGCTCTCCCCGTCTCCTAGTTCACTCTCTCTGCATCTCATGGCACTCACAGTGTTTATGGCTCTCTCTGTCTTCCATTACACATACACTTACACCCTTTGGCCAAAATGTCTATTTCTGCATTTTCTCTTGGGGGATCCCTATAGATGAACTCGGCTTTAGATCCCTGAAGACACTATGTGGGGAGGAGGATGGAGAGAAGGATGTGGAGACATTACAAGAAAGGGGAAGAGAAGAGAGAATGGATTAATAGAGAGAAAGAGCGAGCAGGGAGGTGGAATTAATGTGCAGGAAAGCAAAAGCTTGGTCACTGGTGACTCACTGGTTGACTGTTACGTAGGTATTCATGTCCTATTCACACCATAGTGTACAGCTATGCTCTTTATGAGCAGTGAGTCACACAGAACTGAGGATATCTCAAGCTTCTTGGCATATGTCTTCCATATTCTGACTTACTACAAAGTATTGGGAAAATGTTGTAAATGGAGAGATGATAGGAAGCAAATGTGAAAAAGATCTTTAAAAAGTAAGAGTAATAATAATATATTTGTCATCATCAACATCAGGGCAAAAAGCATCCTCCACCGTGTTCGACCTTACCATGTAATGTATTTGCATATTTATGTAATGTATATTTAAAGGGGCTGTATGCCAGCAACTTATTGCTCATGCTCGGCCTCGCCCACGCATAACGCACAGTACAAGAGACTGAACATGATTCGGTACCCCGAAATACTCAAGGTGAAGTTCTTTTTCATTCTTTGCTTAGAAGTAAAAAGAAGTTGGAAATACCTTTGTAGCAAAATACATATTAACATCCACACTGCTGAGAGTGACGTTAATATGAATATGTAAATATGTGCTGTGCACATTCCTCTCAATAACAAAATAAACACACCACAAAAATGACAGCGGTGAGAAAGCAGCCGTTAAGAAAGCATCTGATCATAGCAATGTGGATATGTCTGCACCAGCTCTGCAGTTCAGCGGCATCAAGTCAGCAGATGAAGTAATTAAAATTATGCTAGTATGATAGTTTGATTATAAAATAGCCTATATTTTAGATTATATAGATCTGGCTATGTGATACTAATCCATTTTCATTGTATTACACATTGACATTACAGTACAGATACACACACTAGAAATATATAATGTATTACATTTTGGAAGTAACTTGCCCAACACTGTATATATATAATAAAACAATTATATAGAGTTTAGATAGATAGATCGTTGTTCTCTGTCTTTCCTTCTGATTTCATAATCTGTGTACATCTTTGTGCTCTCTCTCTCTCTCTCTCTCTCTCTATCTCTCTCTCGTATACTACTTTTCAGCCTCCCTCTCTCTATCTCTGCAGAGTTGAGCTGACAGGGAAACTTCAGTGCTCCAAGTGCTCGGAGTCTCTTGCTGAATTATTTACAGACTGGGACCCCCCGAGTGCTTATGCCACCCCTCCCTCCCCTTTACCCCTCCCTCTCTCCTTCCCTCTCTGTCTCCTGCCATTTGCTGCTGGCAGCTTTCTCTAACTTATGTGATTTTGACACACTGACTGACTTCAGCTGTCGTGAAGAACACTATTTAGCAACGGATTTGACTGAATAGGTTTTTCCTGTCAGTTCTAAATGCAATGTGAAGGAATAACTAGGGAATACTGTGGTCTCAGTCGGCTATTAGGAAATACGAGAAACAGACATTTTCTTTGCGAAAAGAGGTGGGCGAGAATGAATATATTCACAAAGACAATATATTTTGTGCTCAACCTGATCAGATGAGTACGTACATACATTTACAATTGTTCATATGGCAGATGTTTTTTTCAGAGCTGACTTACTGCACATACAATGCATTCCAGGTTTATATTTTAGTATGGGTGATCCCTGGGAAATGGCATTGCTAGCACTATGCTCTGTCAGTTGAGCTCTTAAAACATATCCCATTGGCTATTTAACTTATGCATTAGTCCTATTATTTAATTTATTTAATATTATTATTTATTATTTATGTTTTTTCCCTTGAATTTGAGATGCCCTGGCAATGTTTAACAAAGGTTTTGGAAACACTTAAACCTCTGATGATGTAAACCGCTGATGATTCTTAGTGCATGATATCATAAGATCCTTGCACCGATGATGTACACTACTGTTCAAAGTTTAAGGTTAGTAAGATTTTCAAATTTTGAAAGTCTTTATGCTTACAAAGGTCACATTTATTTACTCGAAAACAGTAAAACAGTAATATTGTGAAATAATTCAATTTAAAATAACAGTTCTCTATTTTAATATTATAAAATGTAATTTATTCCTGTGATGCAATGCGTAACTTTCAGCAGCCATTACTCCAGTCTTCAGTGTCACATGATCCTTCAGAAATCATTCTAATATGTTGATTTGGTTTCTGCATAAAAATAAAGCGAGTAATATATATATATATATATATATGGTTATAGCTTGTGCATAGTGTATGATTAAGCACAATAGATCTGTTGTGGTTCTGATATGTTACTTTTCTCTTTAGGAACATTTATGTGTGAATGTGAAAGAGACTGAGAGATTTAACAAATTTAGCACAATCTGCTTTATTTCAGGCTTTGCACAGTCTTACATTGTACAAAGGCAAAATCTTCAGTGAACATGCGTTTTTCCCATCACATTTCTCTCATATAGATTAAACAAGAATCAATTTTAGCATCCTTTAAGATTAAAATGGAACCTGTTACCTTTAAACAAAAAGACAGATAAATGTAACTTCCCATCACCAAGACAGTGATGCCACATTCGGTACGCCATGAATCCAAGTATGACTGCACGGTCAGTAAATCCATTCGACATCCCACTATTCCCAAACTCAAACCAATCAATAGAAAGTTTTATCACGTACAGACAAGAATATTAGCCAATCAACGGCAATCTGATGAACGAGCCAGCTTCAATTTGCTGTATTGATCCGAACTAACGATCTAACCTCAGCTATCCAGGAACTGCCAATGTGTGGTAAAGTGTTTTTTTTTTTTTCAGAAGAAAAAATAATATGAGAATTCAGCTATAATTCAAAACTAAATCTACACTACGGATCCTAAAAATATCAACTGTGCAGATTCTGGCCACTTCAATGCTTTGTTTAAGGGAGTAAAATGTGTGTCTCTTCAGGGAAAGTAACACAATGGAGTGATACTGTTGCAGTTTACTGCTGCTGCCAGCAGGAGGAGTTTAGAAGCAAGTCACTCATTCAGGCACAAAATTAGATCAGTAAAATGATTGGGAATGAACTTATGAGGCCGCAAGTTCCAGCGCACTTAAACAAGGGATGAGGAAATAACAAAACAAAAGTATGCAACAGATACACATTACGTAAACTGTTGCGTTTAAACTACAGTTTCATTGAAATACATTTCCTCCTTTGGCCTTTCTAGTGTCCTGTGAGTAAAACCCTGTTTTCAAAGGAACGAAAACACAAGTTCCATTTGTTCACTTACTCCTTTCCATGCGAACATCTACATACATACAGTAAGACAAAGAGTTTTAAGCTGTGCTTTGCTGGCATGTGATTGGCAGGCTCCATGGTATTGTACATTCACATCTTTGCACCAGAGAACGCTGTGAATATGTATAAGTTCAGCATGTGTTTGTGTGTGTGTGTTTAGTGTGTGCGTGGCACGGGGTGCTGCAGGGTCATGTGTTCTGCCCCGGTGAAAGGTAGGCGCTGGGTACAGTAGTGGTGCACCACTTCTGGGATGCTTGGGAACACACAGCTGCTCTTTTCCAGTGTGTAGCCGCACTCTTTAGTCTGCGCTACGATGATGTGCACGCATCCTTGACTTGTCCTGTCGAGAGAGGGGAATAAGGATCTTATATCATCTACGTCAGCTTTTCAGGACTGCTAACTCATTTCTTGTTCTCTTGATTTCAGAGATACACAAGCATGCACTTACTTGAGGGCGATGGAGTATTTGCTGGTAGCTGATT